GCATGCTCTTTGCCACAAGAAATTTAAAAGGTCTTGCTCTCTTTAGGAAGTACAATCAACAGTAAAAAGTGTTTACAGCACGTCAACTGATTCAAAACCACATGCGAGGTCTGAGAAATGATTTCCGCTATTTCGCCTAGGGTTTTTTGATAAAATTAGGTGATTTGTTACATCTATCTAAAATTTTCTTTTACTAGATATATTTGAAGCTCATTTTAAGTCATTTTAGATCATTTTAGATACCGTTGTGCATGGCTCATTTTAGGTCATTTGGGGCATTCCTTCTATTAGTAACTACCCTAATAAAATGCGTCGTTACTTTTTAAGTCTATTATTTTTGGTAAGAAATGAACTGCTTTTGTTACTGGTATGAGAATGTTGTTTTTCCGGCCCAGGCAGCTGAATGTTCTTATTTTTCTGTCGATTTTAGGCTGAAAATATTCTTGAATTGGGTAATAGCTTATGGCATTTTCACTTTAGAATCAGTTTCAATTGCCAGCGTTCTGTGTCTAGATTTGTCTTGCACTTTTTTTACGAAAAGGAATGATTTAATACGGTTAAGTTAAAAGCATAAAATCGTACTGTATTTGGGGATTTTCAATATACTAAACTGAGTCCTTTTCAAACTCTCAGCCTCGGATATATTCTTAGAATATTCTTAAAATTTCGCAAATTTCAGCCTGAAATATTCTTATAAAATATATTCTATAGAAAAAAAGAGTGTATTTAAACAAGAACGTATAGATTATAACTTCTCTGAAAACTGCTGGCAGGTGTTGAGGGGACCTTATAAAACTAAATTTTCCTCTCTAACAGCTGCTTTAAGAAGAGTGCATGAAACAGCTTGTAAAGGGGTTCCGGCCGGAACATGTCGAAAGCATAAACAAGACGTGAAGTTCTATTTCAGTATAACAGTGTTTGATCTTGAATTTTGCCACCATTAAAGCCTTCAAGGTGTTGTGTCATTAAAACAATTAATGCATTGTGAAATAAGGTTTAATGTTTAGTGTACTTTTCAATGTTCTCTTCAAAACATTAATCTTGAAACCACTAGTCAGTCGGAAAAGTTCAATTTCACGGTAAAAGGCTTTTTTGTCAATCATCGTGGGAAGGTCTGGGAAAGGTTTTTCAAATTGAATTGGAAACTACCTTGTTAAAAGTAAAAAGGAAATTAAAGACATATATTCAAATCTGGAGAACTCAAAACGCAGTTTAATCCGAGACATAAGCGTTTCATTATTTATTCATGATCTTTTCCGATCAATTTTCTCAGTAAGCTTTCAACGCAAATGCATTTCAGTCTTTTATTTAAGAGACTGACTAAGCTCTAAAGTGCTGAAACGGCCAAATACTCAGTTTTCAGTAAAGATCCACGCTGTGAAGCAGAAAGTAAGCCGACAAAATTTCTGACTCGACTTGTAAGAGTTGAAACGATCAGGTTCAGTTGCTGTCCTCTGGCAGGCCGAGGTGTCCCAGAGTCCTTAATTTTCAGTATTCGTCCAACAGACAAACGATGTCTGTTCCTTCACGCAACGTCAGTCTGGTCATTTTCGAATCCTCGACCTCCGCCTTTCTTGTGTTGTCTGCTTTCCTCGGCAACTCACTCCTTCTTGCCGCTCTATACAAAAAACCTCGTCTTAAAAGTTCGACTGTCCTGTTTATCGCTGCTCTGGCTGTAACCGATCTACTAAACGCATGCATTCCCGGTATGTTGTTCTTTTCTTCCCTCGCAATTGGAAAGTTACCGTTTGGTAAGTTTGGCTGTCAGATTAGCGGTTTTTTCTTGCATTTTCTGACCTACGCATCCATGTCGACTATGACTCTGACAGCTATTAACAGATTCTTTTGCGTTTTGAGACCGAGGGTGTATAAGTGCGCTTTCACCAACCAGCGTTCGTTGATATACATCGCATCCCTGTGGATGTTCGTAGCAGTGGTTGTTATCATTCCTATTGCGGCTGAATGGTCAACTTTTTCTTTCAACCCAATGATGGCTTCTTGCGCCATGAAGTTCGCCAAGCCTGAGGTAGAACTCGGGTACACCACCTTCATTGTGGTTTTTTTCGTGGTTGTTTGTTTCTCCATCACAACTTTCTGCTACCTTAGCGTTTCCCGAAGCATCCACCAACATAACGCCAACGTCATCGTTTCGCTATCAGTGCAAGAAATCCGCCTGACCAGGGCCTTATTTGTGCTCGTGTTCACATTCGCGGCATTGTGGATCCCTGCCTTCTTCGCAATAGTACTGATGCGGCTTGTGTTCCGAGCCTCAGTTCATCGGGGAGTGGCCTTGTTAATACCCTACCTAATAAGCTTGAGCAGCGCGCTGAATCCCTGGATTTACGGAGTCATGTCCCCAGCTGTTCGCGACAAGATGAAAAAAAGCCTCTGCAAGTCCAGCTCGGTTACCGTTTTATTTGAACCAACAAATGAAACCGTTTTAGTTCGCCAGCACCTGGGATCTCGTACAGGGAACTCTGCCAGAAACACTTTTCATTAGGAGGTGACTTCATACAATGGTCCCCCTAGTACTAATGATCACGTGTGATGATTTACCAGGGGTTCCCATCCTATACTAGGGAAAAACCTGGTCGATCTGCCCCGCCTTCTCAACTTCCCCCGACAAAAAATCTCCGACAAATGATCTTAGAGCAGTTTTTTTCAATTCATTACCCTTGCGTCCGGAATTTTTTGATGTTTGGCTTAGTTCTAATAAGCACGCGTTGCATGAATCATGTTCCATACAATAAGTGAGATAAAAACAGGAAACGCAAGATGTCATGCACTGATTCAGGTCGATTTATGCAGCTTTGACCAAAACATTTTCGGTTTCAAGGATTTTAAAAAAAAAACTACAAGAAAAGGTTTTAGTTTTGTGAATGATAAATAGCTGCTCCATTCAATGTCACCTCAAAACGACACGTAACGCAGAAGAGTATCGTGGTCTGACTGTACAAGAAGTGTCACAAAATCAACCTAAACGGTCCCTTCGGACATTTTCTGTTTTACGTCATCCTAACCATTTCTTACTTGTGGGCATGAACAATCAAGAAGTCATCATTGCCAACGATTCCATGCGGTTCCTCGTTTTCGAGATTTTTTTTGCAGTTTACTGACTGCATATTTCAACTGTAAGTATTTCAAAATATATATGCTGGAGCTACTCATGAGGATGTCTCCTCGAGCGAAATACCTGTTGGGGCCAGCGAGATAAAAGCCAACAGACCTGACATTGTGGTCCGAAGACAAGAGAGAAGGAAGGTGCGTGCTCATTGACATAGCAGTTCCTTCTGGAGGTAACACCTCAGCAAAATTCATAGAGACTGTTGTCCGAGCACAAGGATTTGGAAATTGAAGTCAATAGAATGTTGGATATGAAAACGGAAACAATACCAGTGGTCGTTTGAGCCCTAGGACTAATTAAGAAGGGACTGAACAAGGTCACTAGATATAGTAGAATCCCGGGTAACATTAGCACCAATGAAATCCAGAAAATCACAATAGTTGGAACAGCCCACAGACTAAGGAAAGTACTGTCGCTGAGGTAACTTCTTCCCCTGTAACGCCCCAGGTCCACTGCCCGGACCCGGCTACAGTGAATGGAAATCGAGAAAATGTGATGAGAACATAATAATAAGAAGAAGAATAATTATTGTTATTATTATTATTATTATTATTCTAATAAAAAACATTCTTTTATTGATAACAAAGCTAACTAAAAAATCCTATTTACAATTAATTTCGCTTAAAAACTAATATGTGAGGTTTAAGATTGCTTTAAAGTGGCCTCAGTCAGGAATAACCAAGTTTGGTCAAAGCTGTGAATATAATAATATGTGAAATAAAAACGCATATACAATATATCAGAGATAAATTAAAATCCATGTAGGCGTTTCATTTTCGCCACACGGGTACTTCAATATACAATATATGAGAGATAAAATCTTAGGTGGCGTTTCATTTTCGCAACATAGGTAATTCAATGCGTCCTTAAGAATTCAACTCTCTGAAAATTCGCCTTCTTTGACAAATTAAGTGGGCTGAAGTATACGCGGTTAACTTTCAGGGAACGGGAATTCACTATATTAGTTTAAGTTCTCACTACCGTCGCCGTCTTCGTTGCTTTGGTTCCAAGTACCAAAATGCTGGTGCGTATACCGTATTTATTCGATTAACCGCCCTGGGCGCTTATTAAATTTTTGGACCTTGAGAGTGGGCGCTTATTCGAGGTGGGTGCTTATTCGAGGCTGGGCGCTTATTAACTTTTCAACATTTTCTGCAAGTGTAGTATGTGTATTTTCCAACAAAACCATAAATGCTAATAACAGAACGCGAAGATGTAACAAAGCAAGGTTCCTGTAAAATACTTTGAAGAAAACTCCGTCTTCGGCAAAGTCTCTTATTAGTATTTATTCAGTTTTATGGGTGGTCGCTAATTTGAGTTTGAGTGGGAGTGGGAGGAAGGTGTGGTGGGGTGGGCGCTTATTCGAGGCTGGGCGCTTATTAACTTTTTCTGCCTTTAGGATGGGCGCTTATTCGAGGTGGGCGCTAATTCGAGGTTGGGCGCTTATTCGAATAAATACGGTAATAGTGATGTCCTCGGTGACCGACTATAAGCAGAATACAAGTAGTGCTACTCAGAGTTTCATGCCTCTTGCGAAGCAATCATCAGGCAACTGCCAAAATTAGCGGTTACAATCAAAGATATAGAGAAAACAGAACAAAAAATACTAGGCCCAGTGGCTCGTGGCGTGTTTCGAATTCGTATGCTGCGTGGTGCGTCATATCTGACAGGAGCCCGGATCTGATGATGATCTGATCCAACCCGGCGTTCCAGCTGGGGCTCCCTCCTTCTCGTGCCTGTGACCATCGTTTTCCAGTTGGTGCCCATCCAACCTCGTCCCCAGGGCTTTTTCCTAAGAAAATGGGGGGCGGGGGAACCCTGGAGACGAGCTTTATGCCCATACAGATGGACACCAATATGCATGGCGGCCGCCGGAACCAAACTGGAGAAACATCTGTCTCTAACTTTGCTACGAAAGCGTGAATTCATTTCTCAAGGACTAAGAAACATTAGAGCAATAGGTTTTCTAAGACAATGACCGTTCAGATAGCAAAGTCCCCCAAAATAAGTCCTTTTATAAGGTGGCTAGATACAGTTTTCCAGGGCCAATACCTCCCAAGTTTGAGCATAAACTACGTCGCCATAAACTAAGTTTTGGAAAAATTGCCACCACGGTTGTATTAGATGAAGATGAAAATTTGTTATGATCAGGGTTGCAACGGCATCGGAGTTGTCATAGCAACGAAATGACGCTATTACCTATTTTACTTGCAGCAGTGTATCTCGGCACTAGGAACTGTTCTTCCAAAATCGTTCACGGGAGCTTTTTCCTCCAATAGGGGCCTCGATGTTTGTGAAGTTTAAGCGAAATCTGTAAGAGCGTTATCGAGATATTTCGGGATGAAGTTTTTATGATTAGAAACACAGTAAAAAATGGACAATATTGTTGTTTGGCCGTTATCTGTGAAAAATGAAGAGCTTTTGACATGCAATTTCACCTCATAGTAGTTTCAATCTTTTTAAAAACGTGTGTGAAAGATCATTTAGATAGCTCCAACCGATTGCTAGAAAGAAGGGTTTGATTAGTATGTATCGAAGCGCTCTTGTTGGCGGTTTTGTAAACATTTTAGTCTTCTTTATCAAATTAGCGAATAATTTTTAAACCGCTCGATAGATTTTTTTAAAAATTTAAGATTCTTGAGATTGACCTTCCTTTTGTGTGACCTTTTAGTTTCAAGATTATTGATACATTGTAAGGCAGTAAAATAAAGGCTACAATTCGCTACTTTTTTATTGGAAGTCTAGTCATTACAAGAGAAAGCCTCTCATTATTCAAGGCATTGTCTCCAAGTTTCATTTTCACGTGAACAGCAGTAACTAACAATGCATTTGACATATGCAAAACTGCTAGCTATTGTTGTGCACGAAAATATGAAACTTGGAGACAATACAATGAGAGGCTCGCACTTGTAAATACAAAATTTCAGCCAAAATATTAGAGAATTGTAGCCCTTATTTTACTGCCTTACAATATATCAATAATCTTGAAACTAAAAGGTCATATAAAAGGAAGGTTAATCTCAAGAATCTTAGATTTTTTTAAAAATCTATCGAGCGGTTTAAAAATTATTCGCTAATTTGATAAAGAAGACCAAAATGTTTACAAAACCGCTAACAAGAGCGCTTCGATACATACTAATCAAACCCTTCTTTCTAGCAATCGGTTGGAGCTATCTAAATGATCTTTCACACACGTTTTTAAAAAGATTGAAACTACTATGAGGTGAAATTGCATGTCAAAAGCTCTTCATTTTTTACAGATAACGGCCAAACAACAATATTGTCCATTTTTTACTGTGTTTCTAACCATAAAAACTTCATCCCAAAATATCTCGATAACGCTCTTACAGATTTCGCTTAAACTTCACAAACATCGAGGCCCCTATTGGAGGAAAAAGCTCCCGTGAACGATTTTGGAAGAACAGTTCCTAGTGCCGAGATATACTGCTGCAAGTAAAATAGGTAATAGCGTCATTTCGTTGCTATGACAACTCCGATGCCGTTGCAACCCTTATCATAACAAATTTTCATCTTTATCTAATACAACTGTGGTGGCAGTTTTTCCAAAACTTTGTTTATGGCGACGTAGTTTATGCTCAAACTTGGGAGGTATTGACCCTGAAAAACTGTATCGAGCCACCTTATAAGTCGGCCGCCATGTAACTGAAATGTCGCTTTACTGGGTAAAAGCTTAGAAATTAAAAGAATCACAAAACGAAGAGCCCTTTCGAAGTCAGAAACTGTTAAAAAATTAGTTCTTAGGTAATCCTAATACTCCAAGAAAGTAAAAACTCAAGAGGATCGATAATTTTTTAGTTTTGAATCTTGATGACACTATATGAAACCAGCAAAGGTGCGCAGAGTTTGCATTTGAATAGCGCGGAGTAAGATAGAATTGACAAATGATAGCAACTGTTAAATTGCGTAATTTCTAGTCGGTTTATTGGTGTTAAAAAATAGCTTCTTACTGACAATTCAAACAAAATAATCTAGAGCAGTTACCACAAAGAAATCTAAGTTGTAAGAATTTAGACTTGGATTATAATTTCCTCTGCAGTCTAACAAGTATTGGAAAGACCCTAACCTTAAAAAATTTTCGTCGCTGAGAATACGTGAGAATAGCGGTTAGTTGAAAAAGCCGTTGTAGGCTGGTGTTCTACGAAGCTTAGGAACATGTCGGGAGTGCTAAAAGCTGTGCTAACAAGACACTAAAGTTTTATTTCAATACATAATATTGTTCTTGAATTTTGCCGTCATGAATTAAAGTTGAGCTGTTAACAGAGCAACGTCAAAAAATGCATTATGTACATGGTTTTCTACTTTTCAAAACAATTTTTTAAGTCCTCTTCAAAACATCAATCTTTAAAACCACTAAT